AGTCGGCGGGCGGCGACGGGGAAAACATCTAACTCTTGGGCCTAACTGCAGAAGCCGACTCGACGTGTGCGATGACGTAGGCCGTTATGTTTTCCTTATTACAGGCGTGATTATTAACACCGGTCATTGTAAAATCAATAATTTTGCTTCTGAATTTGTTATTGTCGTAGTAAGCGGCTGAATTGGTTCGGAATAGTTTTCTAATCTCATTCTGTCTGACGCGAAGTCGATCGATATTTCTGAAACATCAATGTCACACTACACACTTTCACCTTCCACTTGAATTTCGAGATGATTGGAGCTGAAAGTTTCTGTAATCATTGTTTTTCCATATAATATAATGTATGGATGCACTGAAAACTGACTGATACAAATACTGTTCCGATATTTTTTGTTAAAATGTTTACTGCTGTTGGGTTTTTGTTTTTTATAACTAAACTACCTAAGGACTAAACAGAGTAAATGATAAGAATTTTCCACTTTTAATTTTTAGTTAATTATGATTTTTTAATTGGTTTTTTATGAAATGTGCTTCCAAACACGCATAAAACAAGTAACTTTTCAACAGTCACTTAAAAAACAAATGTGCAAATCGTTTTAGAGTTTATGTACATTTTGTAAGAGACCACGCCTTTACAATGTCATCTCATCGAATGGCTCTTGCCTTGCTCTATTGATCTCGTGAGAAAATATTTACTTGGCCCATAAAGCAGAAAGATATTTAAGATATAGCCTAATAAACAAATTAAAAGCAATTATTATTACAAGTTTTACAATATTCTTAAGTTGATAATATTACTTATCTAATGAACGAAAACCTTTGTTATTAGCTTGTCTTTCAGACTATATTCTGCATATATGTCAAATTTCAACGAAATCTGTTCAGCCGTTCTGTAGAAGAAACATCCATCCATCCATCTAAACCTTTTGCCTTCATAATATTAGTGTGAAGTAATATTTATTTCGGTATTTATTTCACATTGTGTAGGTTTAAGAGTATCTCAAAGAAGCAATGATCGCTTACAATTAACAATTAATATTTTTTTTAATTAGTGTAATGTGCAGCCAACGTCTAGAAATGAAACTCTTAACTTAACGTTACTTAAAATACAAATAAATACCAGTAATTCCAGTTCCGAGGAAATCT